ATTATATTTTTTAGTGCTGGCTTGGTGTTATCGCTTGTATGTTGGTGCCGTCATATTGGTGCTTTTATTCGTATATAGTGTCGTGCTGCTGGTATTTTCGTTCGTATGCTGGTGCCTTTGTAATTGTTGGTGTTATCATTAGTTTTACGTTGCTATTTCAGCATCACTGCTGATATCGTTCATGATGAGTTACTTTTTTTTTTTTTGTTTGTCTATTCGTTCACTTTGTTCTTTACTAACTGCTTGTTCGTTTTTTATTCGTAGCACATCGCTTGAAAATTTAGTTGCTATTGATTTATTGTTGGTTGGTAGCTTTGGGATGTCATAATTTAGTAGCATCATTATTGGGGTCATAGTGCCTGAATGTTTGGGTTAGGGTTGCGGGTTAAAGGTAAGTTAATACCACCGGTAGAAGCATAATCCTGCATTTTGCTAAAACAAATTATATTAATATTAAATGTGGGTTTGGCATATTTACAGAAAATAATATATTATTTAATCCTAACTATTGATAAAACCTAAACTCTATAGTTTCATCAAATGCTAACTCCCAAATTACCGAAACTGGTTTGAAATTTTGCCATAACCCTGATGAAAATTTTGTTATCATATGACTAATATATCATAATTTTGATGCCGAAACAGTTTGGATTATATTAGTAATCCTGACATTATAATAATCTAATGCACCTATAATACTTAGCTTTTATTTGCTAGTCTTTACAATTTTTCAGTTTCATTAGTTTTGCTAGTTTTATCATAAGTTGTCATTTGTCTTTTTAAAAGATTTTAGCAAATAATAAATCAATTGCCTAGGGAACTTATTTAGAATACTGAAATAAATATATACTGCCATGTATATAATTATGTAAACTGGAGCTTAAAACATTAACTAGATCCCAAAATTTATTAGATATATTAAGAGAAGTAAGTTAAATAGTAATATTTTAATTATATTGTACAAGATATAAAAGTGATTCTAGATCTAAGAAAGTTGCCAGATTAACATTTCTAGCTCTAAATATCTAAACGAATATAAATCTTATAGTGTCAAACTATTAGATTAGTAAGCGTAGCTTTGGGTAAATAGTAGGTAGTAATATGTATAAGCATTAATAATATAGACTAAAGATCATATTGCATTTCTAATAAAGATCGCAATAACTATAACTAATGCTAAAATAAGAATACATAGTTTCATTTTTTGCATATCGATATTAGATATTAAATTTGATCATTGTAAATTAGCTAATCATGTATATCTACTTTATCATATGATTATCATATAGTGAATTTTTATTGGTCAACTATAAAAAAAAATAAATTCGATTTTCACTTTGTTAACGTGAGCAGAATATGAAAACTAATTATATAAATTTATATAGCCTTAATAAAAAGTTATCTAATTTAAATAAAACTTTTAAATATATAGTTTAATCTTTCAAGCAACTTTTATTTAATAAACTATATTGATTTATCTAATAAAAATTTTCACAATTAAGCAAAATCTACTTTAGCTAAAAATAAGCTATTCTTAAAATTTTTGTATAATTTTTTAGCCAAAAATAGTAGTTATTTTTAAAAATAAGGAATTGCTATTTGTACTACGATTTTTGCTATTTGCACCATTAAATTGACTAGAATTATATACTAACTCTAATTAATTCTGCTCAAACTAATAATGCAAATAGCAAAAACCGTGGTGTAAATAGCCGTACTCTAAAAATATATGGTAATAACTTATTAAAATTATAAACAAAAAGAAAAACATATGGGCTGATTTGTGGAATTAGCAATAACTTTTGATCCACCAATCTGATTTTAATGATTTTACCACCAAAATATTCGTCTTAATAAGACGATTCCAACAAATCTAATATCATTAAAATCTGATTACAGGATCTCAAGATCATTAAACTTTTATATGATTTTACTAGTAAATTTTAAATTACTATGTAAAATATCTTTGACATCAAATAACTTTTGATCTACTGATTCATTTTATATGATTTTACTACCAAAATAATCGTCTCAGTGAGACAATTCTAACAAATACAGAATTATCAAAATCTAATTACAGGATCACAAAATCATTAAGAATCAGTGTACATATAGACAATCAACTGAGAAACGGGTTGTATATATAAATTTATATATGCAATCCATTTCTTAGTTGATAGTCTATATGTACACTAATCCTTAACGATCTTGTGATCCTGTAATTAGATTTTAGTAATTTTGTATTCGTTAGGATCATCTTACTGAGGTGATCATTTTTGGTAGTAAAATTATATAAAATGGATT